TCAGGTTCTCTCCCAGCTCCTGTGCTACCCAGCTGAGATGGGAAGGCTTCACCGCTCTGCCCCTGGGGCATGCAGAGATCCCCATTCCTGGTGTCCCAGTGCAGTGGCTGGAACAAGCCCACCCTCCTCTCCCCTCTGCTCTGCTGTGGTGACCCAGCATGTCCTCCTTTGCTATTTCCACAACAAAGCCCCTCTGCTCCATTCTGGGTTATATTTAGCTCAGCAAGGAACAGCATGTGAGATGCTCAGCTCATCCTACCCATTGCCCGCATCCTATCTGTCACCCGGGAACTACGCTGAGCAGCTGGGCCCCCAGAACCCTGCTTGGCTGCGTGGAGACATGGCCAGGCAGGGGGCTTGAGAGCCGCTCTTCTGACTACCCTGGAGTCCTTGCCAGGTGCTGCCTCCCCGTGGGGGTGGCCGGAGCAGAACTGCGAGCTCAGGAGGGGAGGTCCAGCTCCCAGCATGTCCTCTGTCATGCACGCAAGCCCTGAGCAGCAAGCACTCTCCTGCAATGTGGTTTCCTCTCTCGGTGAACACCCCTGCGGGCTGCGCTACCGGGAGTGGCTGTGGTAACAGAAGGTCACTGCTGCAAGTCTCAGTCCAAAAGCAGGCAAGAAAGCACCCATGATGTGCAAATGCCGCATGCTAGTGTCCAGCTGCAGGGTGCTGCTGTGAATCCTGGCCCAAAGATCCCTGGCAGTACTGGTGCTGTGCCACTGCTCGGCACACTGCTCCTGCCCTGCTGCGGCACACTGGAACAGGAGCTAATGTGACGTAAGGCACACTCCTTGGCTGAGCAGTGCGGGCAGAGGCACAAAGGCCCAGCACTTGCTCAGGGTCTGCTGTGGTGCAGGGTAGCAGAGGCCCTCCTAGCACTGTGGAGGCACCTCCCTGCAGGGAAATTGTCCCAGAATCTGCAGAGCTGCTGCCCAAGCCAGCATCATTAATAAGCTTGGCATGGAACTGCTACTCAAAGCCCTAAATATAACCTGAGCACTGAGATCTATCCGCCCGCCCGAGGCGCCTCCGTACACCACGGCAGCTATTTATGGAAAGAGCTTTATTTCCATAGGCTTCATATCATTTCTGCTCGTTTCAAAGCCTTTATATAGCGGCTCCTGCCGCCTGCCCCTCCTGATGACTAATGAGCCCCAGCAGGAGTGGGTTGCTCAGAAGCAGGAGCACCACGGCCTCCACCTCCGTGTGACATTGAAGACTCTGGTGATGGGCAACAGCCCATGGAAGAGGGCCTCCAAACTCTGAACTGGGGCTCGGGAAATGCCTCTGTCGGGTTTCTATGGGACTCCTTGCCAGATCCTCCCAGCTCCTGGGCACACATGGAGCAGAGAGCAGGATGTGAACATTCCCCTGTGATATTGGACAGCTCTGGAGAGAATTCAGGCTGATCAAATTAGGCTGCAATATGCTCCCTTCCTCCCCGGTGAAGGCTGGGTAATTGCAGCTGGCTAATCCGCTCAACATCTGAAGAAAGACAGCTAAAGGAAGAAAAGCCTGCTTTGCTCCCGCACTTGGTGTAGCTATCCCTCATCTCAGTGGTGGAGGCAGCCCCCTGCTCTACAGCCCCTGGGCCAGGCTGTGCCAGGAGCACTGCCACAGCCCTAGCTTGTAGCCAGTGCTAATTCAGGTGGGACACTGTCACCCAGCCCCTGCTTGTCACCCATTGCAAGAGTAATTAATGCTTGGGATGACTCAGCCCAGGGCCCTCCTGCTCTGCAGGCACTAATTCGGTTTCCCATTAGTTCCCATTACTGCAGGATTTAGAGAGCAATTTGGTCCTAGTTTGCTTCACTGCCCTCGCAAAGGGGGAGAAGGGCTGTTGCATGCACGGGCACTGAGCCAAGAAGTTAGCAAATGGGCCCCAAAGTGTAGGTAATCTTCCCTGCACACCAGGGCCTCAAATCCCCACAGCTGGCTCTCCAAGTGCTGCAGGACACAGTGTTATGCGGTGGTTTGCTGGGCTCCATGACACCAACAGAGAAACCCAGAGCTGGAATGGATGTTCCTGTTGCAGCAGCCTGCCCCAGAGGCTTTCCAGCCTCAGCTCCTTACCTCAGCATCACCGTTACTTCTCCCTGCTGGGAGCTCCCTGTTTTTGCACTCAAGGACAGGGCTGTGGGAAAGAGTGCAGGGATGAGCAGCACCCGGCTCTGGGAATGGAGTTTGGGCGTGACCCCCATGACAACCCTGGCAGATGAAAGACTCATCCCTTACACCCAGCCCAGGCCCCACAGCATGTCTGCGTACAGCCCGTGGCTCCTACCTGTAGGACACCTGCTTCCTGATGGCCAAGTGCAGGAACTGCTCTTCCATCTCCACCGCAGTCGCCGCCCCTCTCACCTTGTCCCACACTGGCTCTGCTCCACAGGGGCCCGAGCTTTGCTCTCGCCCAGTGCTCTCCACGTCCGTAGATCCTGGGATGATTCCCGTGGCTCCTGGGGCTCCCTCGCTGTCCCCGTTGCCAGGGGTGAGCTCTCTCCAGCTGGGCCCCTCAGCCATGTGGAGTGAGGTGCTGATCCCGGCTGGGTCGCTCTCTGCTTGGCTGCCCGTGGGCCTTAGGAGGATGTTGGAAGGGCTCTGCTCCTTGAGAAAGTCGCAGGGAAAGCAATGGAGCAGCAGCCCAACTTTCTGCAGTGCTGTCTATCAGCCTCTCAGCACCAGTTTGCAGCGCTCAGGCACCGTGGCTCAGCCTCTGTCTGCCTTCGCTGCCCTGACACGGCGGAGAGGAGGAACAGCAGATAGAGACTTGCAGACGTCAGTGCCGCTGCTCGGAGGTGCAGGAAAAGAGGGCTGAGGAGAGAGCGTGTCGGGACCAAGGAAGGAGACTGAAGTGGCAGGGCCCAGCACGTCTCCTACTGTCCCCCACCACAGCAACACAGGCAGGCAGGCAGGCAGGTGCCTGTGCACCGATCCTGCAGCAGCACTCAAAAGACAAAGCAGAAAGCGAGCGTGAGCGTGTGCGTGTGGAGGGGGGCTGCGGGGAGCGCAGTGTCACCTTAGAGACACTTGAAACTGGCACTTAACCCTTTGGAGGCTGGGAGGCAGAGGAGCGTGGAGGCATCCCCAGCCCTGGTCTCTCACAGCCGAGGCTGCTTGCCCTAAGCAGTTGTGTGCAGCAGGCACCCCAAAACTTGCACAGCAGCCCCAGCAGAGCAAAGGACCTTCTGCTCTGGGTCCCTGTTCCATGGGGTGAGATCTGCCTGGGGAAGGGCTCCCCACCTTTGAGCACGGATATCCAGCAGAAGAATGGCATCATCTGTGTGTGCTGGGCTGGGGCTGTGCTTGGTGGCCCCGGTCCCAGTTGTGTCAGCTGGGCTGAGGGACCCTGCAGAGCTCCTGTATGTGCCTGGCACCTTGCTTTCAATTTGTTCTGCCTCGGATTTATCACACGCTGAGCCTCAACCTGCTGTGCATGGAGAAATGGGTGTTGAGGGTATGTAGCAGCTGCCTCCCAGCCCAGAGGACCTGTGTGCCTCCCAGACCCATGGTGCAGCCCCATCCTCCGCCCCAGCTGCTCTCTCGTGCAGTCGTGACTTGCAGGGAACCCATTCCCTCCTGCAGCATGACTCACCCCCTCCAGCCTCCACAGGGGCTTTGTTCCCCTCTGCAGCTGCTAGATGGGGGCTGGCCCTCCCACAGGAAACTGGATGAGTTTGGTGCCTCCTGCTTGCAGGCTGAGTGGCCCCTGCATGGGTCATAGCAAGATGCAGAGAGCTTCTGCACCTCTGATGGGTGATTTCATCAGGCACAAGGCAGAGAGCTCCAGCAGGTAAGAAAACCCACATGGAACAAGGTGCCAGCTCTGACACGGTTAAAGGACACTCAGCCTGAGGCTGTGAGAAGGCTTGATCACCCTGTTCCCCCCAAGGGCACCCAAAGCTCCTTGCCAAGGAGCAGGAACAAAGCCTGCATATTTCATAATGGATCTGTACAAGAAGTACAGTTAGGTACAGCCCCAAGCAGTGACACCCAGAGGGAACAAGCTGCACCTGGAAAGTGGGGATGTTCTACCAAGAGCTCCAATAGCATATGTCCTATTGCAAGGCATCAATGTTCCCATGAACCGCTAGTGCCCTGCTCTGCAGCCGTGAGCTGCAAAGGCAATTGTGGTTTTTTTCCAAGTTGGCCTGGTAACAGAGAATGGCTGGGAATAACTCATCTCTGCAAAATGAAGACTGTGTTCTGTCAGTACTCTTTTGTGCAGGGCTTGTACATGTCGGCAGTACATGGGCTCATCAGCAACATGATCCCAGATGGGAAGGAGCCTGAACTGGCATGGCAGAAGTGGGCTGTGGATGTCTGGAGTGCACTGAGTGTAACTGAGCAAGGCTGAAGGTGACTTCAAAGAAGGTGCCTTCTCATTTAGCTAATTCCCTCGTTCTGCTCTAATTACTTGCTGTAGCCAAACTGGGAGGTGTGATTAGCTGGCTGCATTTTGGGAGGCACAGCAAAGATCAGAAGATCCTAATGTGCCTATTTTGAACGGCTCAGAATGCTATCCAGCAAACTGCAGAATAGAGAGGATTAGATTTGACGGAAGGGGTTCTGCTTTCTCCAAATGTGTCAGTGTTAAAAGCGTCAATGCTGGAGAAATTAACCTCTTAGGATGCTTTGTTCAAGCGTCTCCAAAGTCCAGATAACTCTTGCCTGGGCCATTTATGGTCATTTCAATGTCCAAATCCTAACAAACCCACCAGGAGCAATCTAGAATAAAACTTAATTTCCTACACCCCCTGTTGCCACGAGTTTCACACCAGTTTTCGTGGATGTAAATGGACTATCAGAGGTGCAGATCAACAGGCCATCAGGTCCCAAGTCACTGACCTAAAACATGCAAGTTTGCTTCTAGCCCAAACACTGAGTATGAGCTCCCAGCACTGAACCAATTCCACTTGCAGACAACAAATGGGACATCTGGTGAGCATGAGGTCAGAAGCTGTGACAACCATGCTGGAATGAAGGGATTCATCAACCCAGGATTGATGCTGCATCTTTTTATTTTATTTTTATTTTGCTTGTCTAAGCAAATGCAGAGCAAGTGATAGAAGAAAGAGAAAAGATGGCTTGAAAAAAAAAACCCACAAGTAAACAAGACAAAACGAAACATAAAACAGGAGGGAAGAGGCAGCTACTGGAGTACAAGGAGAAAGTGAGCTGCTAACAAGAAAGGAGTTCATAGATGCTAAGCCCGCACTAATTCTTAATAAAATACAATACTGAAAATAGGATCTGAGAGTTTCCAAAATACAATATCTTAAGGGATCGGCAATAATACAAAATAAGTTTCATTATGTACAAACGAGTTCTGCTCTTGGTCTCTGTACAACGATGGGAGTGGGAGGCATGGGGACACGCACAGTGGAGGTGCTGGGGTGGAGGAGGGTGTGCTTGGACCCAGCAGTGGTTCTTTATGCTGGGGTAGAGGCTGAGGATTGGGAGCACTCTGGTATCTGGTGAGAAGCAGATCCTGTGTGAACCTTGAGAAGAGCTGTGCTGAAGGCCTTCTTCCTCCTCATCCCACTGGCCAAGCATGTGTGGTTGCAGCTAGTTGTGTCCAAATTTGTCCTAAGTGGCTTCCAAGGCAAAAGCAGTTTTCAAAAGAGGGGACAGAGAGAGATGTGAGGGCCATTCTCTCAGTTCTTCCAGTTCTTGAGCAGGGGGTGAGACTGGTAGAGAGGTTGGGGCAGCATGGTCTAAGTGCAGGTCACTTAAAGCAAAACAAGCTTCAAGGTTGTCTGCTGTGAGGTCTAGTGGAGCACACACAGAGATTCCCATATGCAATCTGCTGCATCCCAGATCTCAGAAATTCAAGTCCCACATTGTCCTTCTAGCAAAGGACAGCTGAGGGTACAGAGCGAGGAGACACTTGGGCCTTTCAGCAGGAAAAGGGAGGAAAAAGGGTGAAAAGTGGATGACTGGATGCTAAAGAGAATGGAACACGTTTGAGATGAAGTCATTTCAGCACTGTAGCAGAAATGCTAAGTCACGGCTTGAACCAGTGATTGAGCACCTGGTGGGAAGGCAGGGCCAGCCCAGGGGAGCTCAGCTGTGCACAATGCACCTGAGTGGCTGGAAGGGGTGGAGCCAGGATCCACCCCTTCCCAGACCTCATTTAAGGGTTGGAAATGGAGGTAAAGGTATCTTGATAGATATTCCTGACTGCTGGAGGTTTTTCAAAGGTAGGCTGCTTTTTTTTTTTTTTTTTTTTTTTTTTTTTACCCCCCCTCCTCTCCACTTCTGTAGCCATAGCTGCTGCATTTAGGCTTGTCCTCATTTGCTGTACCCAAAGACTTTGTTATCCTATATTGCGGTACTTTCCATTGCATTATGGTGTTACAAGAACTAAATTTGAAAAGTCTGGCCTGATAGGTGGTATGGGAAGAGATTGCTGACTTTGGTGCTGGCACTTAGCAGGAGGAGAGCTAAAAGAGTCTTTGGTGACTCTGGCCAATTCAAATGTGACACTTCTTTCCTGGCAGAAGTAACAGTCTCCAGAGATGCCAGTATGTCATCAGTGGTGTTCACAAAGCTACTGGGCACCAGCAGTGATATCAGGATATGAGGGGGTTTATGGTTCTATTGCAGCTCTTCTATAGGTTGCAGAGTTCTTTCTTCTTCACGGTTCTTAGGAGGATCTCATTTGGCATGAGGCAGAATTTGGTGGAGAGCTGTGATAGGATCGTGGAAGTGGATTTCCCACACTCACTCTCAAAGCAGGGGGTGTGTAGAATAGAAAGTGGGAAAGCACTGTTCTGATTAGTACCACACTGTAGGGCCCAAGCTGGGAACCAAAAGGAAAATAAACCACCTCTGCCAAAACAAAGGTGCTGGGGGTGGAGAGAATGGGGCTGTGGGGAAAAACTTCTCCCTGTTTTAGAGTTCTGGTTGCCCAGAAGCTGCCAGTTAATTTTCATGGTGGTTTATCTTGATCTGGGATCTGTCTCCCCCACTCCGTTTGTGTGCAGATCTTTGCAGATATTTGGCGTGGAAGTTATGTAGGCACATCCATTAAGAGAAAGCTAGAGCAAGGAAGAGCTAGGTTTTCTCTTGATGGAGGCAGAAGTATACTAACAGATGGAGAGGAAGGAATGAGCTCAAACTCTCCAGAGTCAACTCTCCAGTCCCAGCATCACCCATTTCAAAGTCCCTTAAGCAGAGCAGTAAAACTCTCTCTCTTTCACGTGCATTGGATGTAGCCAAGGGGTAGGTGGCCAGGGACAGCCTCCATGGAGGCTTTGGGGAGTGAGCTGAATAGTTTGAGGGCATACTCTTGACCTCCCTCCATTCCATGGTGAGCCCACACCCATAGGGTAGTGCTCATTCAAGCAGGAGATAAGGCCAGGAGAAGAAGGCGTCTCAGGACTTCGTCAGACGTTTATTACTGGTTCTGGCAGTCCTGTGACTCCTCTCAAAGGGGACCATGGGGATGGGAAGGAGCTGAACTCAAGGCCAGTTTAGGAGTGTCTGAATGCAGTGTCCTCTCCCACCAAGTCCCCTCAGTTGGTCAGTGAGGAGGGAATCCTGCGATCAGACAGACGAGGCCTTGAGGTCCAGCAGCTGCTACAAGTATTCAGCTGTCTCACTGGAGCTTGTTTCCCTGAGGAGAAAAAAAAAAAAAAAAAAAAAAAAAAAGGACAAAGACATCAGTGAAGGCTTTTTGCAGTTTCCTAGGCAAATTCACTTCTCTGCCCAGCTGTTATGCTCTAACCAGGATGGAGGTCTTCCCTGTGCCACTGAATGAAGAGCAAACCTGGGACCACCTGCATCATCCCACCCTGCTCATGTTTAGAGCAGTGGAACATTGATTACAGAGTTCCAAATTCTTGCTCTTGAAAACAAACTTGGTCTTATGCTCTCAGCTAGCATTGGCCTCCTGCAGCTGCTTGTCTAATTGCCTGCCCCAGGGAGCTTGGTTGCTCTAAGCTTGCAGTGAAGGGGACATGCTTGCTTGTCCCTCCCAGATGTCATGCTGTGGTTTGGGGCTCAGACTGTGGTCCCCACCTGCTTACCTCTCATGAAATTGCTCTTTGAGGTGGGTTAGAGTTGGGTCAGTTTGGTTCTGGTCAGGATTCTCCAGATGGGATTTGCTCATGTATTTGGCTGTCTCATGTGTCATCGCCAGATGAGGCCTTGGCTTGTCAGACTGCCCTTTTTCAACCTCCCACCCCTCAGGATGGTCCATGGTTAGGAAGGAGCTGTAGCTCTCTTCTAAGGAGCCAGCACCCTCATCATAGAACAAGAGGCTCCGTGACTGAACTGGAAACAAAGAGAGCATGGGTTAATAATGTGGTTAAGGTCTCTCACAAAGGTCACAGTATTGGTTAGCACATGCCCACCCAGCTATGGCCTTGTCCTGCTCTGAAAAATACCCCATTCCTGTAAGCTTCACGAGGCAAATGCTGCCCAGGACACGCCACCTCTTCAGAAGGCAATCTGACCTGTGCCTTTTTCTTCATTTGGCAGCCTTTCCTATTTGGGAGAATGACTAGATGAAAATGAACACAGGCCCAAACAATATGCTGCTATAATACCACTGACAGGCCATGAATCCCACCAAGCAAGATCCGGTGAGGTAGGCTCTGAAGGGTCAATGCTACCCCTGAAATAGATGTGGCAGGAAAAAAATTGGAAATGGTTTGATGGGATTAAAGGGAGGTACCACATTAGACTCACTCTTACTAGTTGTATAAATGTCTGGCGCTGGTGTTGCTTTCACTGTCTGTGATGCTGTAGAGAACTCTGGGAGACAGGGCATCAGGGATCCCAGGATGAGAACGAAGCAGAGCACCAGCACCTAGTGAGGAGATATCAACATGCAGTCAGTGCCACTAACAGCGATGAAGCCCCCTCTCAGCACACAGGCACATCTGTGTGAGAGCATGTATTCAGGATTGCCATCAGTCACTGCAGTCCCACAGGGATGGAAGGACTTGCTCTGCTAATCTCTACTGGAAATCTAAGAAGGGGCACTCAGAAGCTTCCTTGTGTTGCTCTTTTTCTGGAGTATTTATAGTTCCATAGTGAGAACTTGCCTGTCCAGCTGAGATGCTCACAGCCCAGGAGCAATTTGGGAAGGAAGGATGCACAAGGGAAGAGATGATGTTTGCCTTGATCACAGGGAACCTGGCCATTAGCACAGTAGGAGCTGCAGTGGGCTGCAAGTAAACAAGCTCATTGGAAGACATCTATAAGATACCACAGCAGATTACAAAGGGAAGCAAGTTACTCTCCATACTAGGACAGAAGTGGCAGCAGAGCTGCAGCAGCCCAACTTCTGATGATATGGGCAGAGTCCAAGGAAGGAGATCAACTTAAGCTTGGCATGCACATATTCTGAGCCATGTGTCTTCTGGCTGTGGGCAGATTAGTCAGAGCTACTGGACAGCAAAAGGAGAGATGCGGATGAAACCCTGGAAATTCCCCTCTGGTGGTTTTGCACTTATCTGTAAGTTCTGTCATGATGGAAAGGGACTCCATTTAATTAGGGGAGCTAACAGTACAGAACAAATGGGAAGTTATAAAGAGCCAAATCCTTTTTAGCTGAATTCCAACACGAATATTACCTGAACGCTATGGATCCCACATTAATATACCACCCACAGGATAGTATATTAATAGCTGCCTCCGGTGTAGTGATCAGCTTGAGCAAATCTAAAGAGGCAATGCATCTGCTGATGATTTCTACAGCAGGTATACAAATCAGACAGTGGCAATCTCTTGATTGCTTTTTGGAATAGCCAAGTATTTTGGAATAGCCACATTTAAGTAACACACGGAAGCTAGTACTTCAAGTTAATACGGCCACCAGCAGATTCCAGGATATGCAGAAGATCCTATGATAGCACAGGGATACCATACTATGTAAAAGGAAATTTAGTTTTCCAGACCTTTCGTGACTGATTTTGAAGTAAGGAAACCAGTTATGGACAACCCAGTTGCTAGACACATCATATTTGGAATTCTTAAAAACAAGGAAAGCTAAGCTAGAGGAAAATGCTACAAAATCAGTTGGAAAGGTGGATGAAAAATTTGTTTATAAAAGTGTCTTCAGAAGTAGTTGACAAATAGTTCATTGTTAAGCTGGGAGAATGTAGAAGATGGAATAGCAAAGATATCTGTTGTGGCTCTGGCAAGATACAACATCTTAAAGCTTAACTTGGATGCAAGTCAGTATCAAATCTACAGGTGGGAGAGACCATGAGCAGATGGGCTTTTGGTCAGCATTTGGAGCAATCGTGACCACTGGGGAAAAACGTTTGAAGATAACAGCAGGGAGATGCATGCAGGCAAACACTGAGAGCAGCAAGGTGGTAGGAGTGATTAGCAGAAGGAACGGCACCAAGCAAGTGAGCAGGCAGCTGTTTGGCAGAAGCAGGTCTGGGAGTGAAGATGAAGCACAAGGTGTGTCGCTTTGGGAAGGGCAAATCTCAGCTTCACTGGATGAACAGGCTTCCTGAATGGCTTGTTGATTCTGTATAGATCTTCAGGTGCAACACTGTACCCAGCTTTGGGCTCCTTTATTCCAAAAAGGTATGGGGCCATTGGAAAAGACCTGGAAGAGATCTTTGAGTACAAGCAGTGAATCAGTAACTCAGCCTATGAGGGAAGATAGAAGAAACTGGTGATTTAGCAGAGTGGACTGAAGGAAGTGACCTAAATAACAGCTTTCAAATATGTGAAACACAGCTGCAAAAAGGATAAATTGATATTGCTTACAGTGTGCCTGCTGTAAGTTGCAATAAATTTAAGTTATTGCAAGGAAGACTTAGATGAGATATCCAAAAGTTTTAACTGGGAAAGATAACAAAATGCTGTAATGGTTTGCCTAGGGGAGCTGAGGGCTGCTCGCTGCTGGAGCCTTCAGGAATTAGCTAGAAATATATCCAGCAGGAAAGGCACAGAGTGAGAAGAGAAGGGTCTTCTGCTGCACGCCCATGCTGCAAGGCATGATTATTCTACATATCTGTCTTGATAAGGAGCGCTCTATTTGGAGACTAAATGGAAAATGGGAACTAGGAGGCTGATGAGAGGAACTGGCCAAAGATAGAAAAGCAAATTACAAATTCTTGAAATGCTTCAAAGCTCAGAAGCCTGAGAGAGTTGCTGTGTGGGCTGCGATACTGTGGAATGAAGGGAGCAGTTAAGAGAGATAAGACATTGCTGGGAAGCTAAATTAGGTATTTTATCAGTTTTTATGGCATTGGGGATGTCTGGAAGGCGCTTCTCCTGGACTTGCTCATTTCAGGTAGCAGCAATGAAGAATTGCTGAAGCCAGGGGTGCTCTGATGAGCTGTTGCATTAAGGAGCAATGAGTCACTGGGTCCTGTGGGGTCACACCCAAAAATGTGAAAAGAACTTGGGAATGAAGCAACAAAGCAGTGAACAGAAAAGAAAATCTGTCATTAAAATCTGATCTGATATGGAGGTGGCAAAGAATAGCAGAAGTTTGAGCAGATTTTTGAAAGGAGAAACTGAAAGAAGAGGGGGGGGGTTGAAAAAAACTTCTCAGGAAACAGTGCTCTGAGAAAATGGGGCAAACACCTCTTCATCTGTGTTTCATGGTTGTTAATGGTATAGAAGCTATAACCACATACGGATAATTTGATAACTGACAGATTCATACTATGACAATCCTCCAAAGAGATCCCAGGGTTGGAGGTTGTGTTTTTTATCATGGATCAGAGTGCTCTTCCCTGGCCAAAAGAGGATGAAAAATAAGCATGACTCCACTTAGGCCGCCCACTGGCATGTCATACAGCACCACAGTGAAGTCAAGATTGCTTAAGTATGACCCCTCACTATGAGATACGAAAGGCAAATGGATTATCAAAACCAACAGATGACCCCAAAAAACTCTGGTTAGCTGAAGTGCAAATCAGAAAGATTCCAGCTGGATTTAACGATGTCTGATGTACAGGCATAGCAAGAGCAGATGTCATTTCTTGCTGATAGGTAGAAGGCAATGCTCAATGGTAGGAATTCTGAAGAAATTTGTCCACCCTGCTAAGTTAAATGTTAAGACTACAGACTCAGCAAAAAAAAAAAAAAAAAGTCTATCCATTATGATAGGAGCTTATTGAAGACACCTTTTTTTTTTTTTTTTTTTTTACTGAATGTCCAATAGATAATGAAGAGCGAACAAAGTATGTTTGGCACAAAATAATAAAATAGTGAAAACACAGGGATTATTCTCATATTGTTGCATAAAGAACTGACACTACTGATGTGTATATGACATGGTCCAGTTCTGGTACTGTTAACACATGAGGAGAAAGCAAGTATACTGGCAACAGAGTATGAAAGAGGGCAGGAACAGAGATTGATGAAGCTGTCTGGGGAGCATGGCAAAATGGAATGATGGAAATGACACTCATACCATTAGGCAGGTCCCGGTCTGAGTGGAAGCCATTTTGTAAGGTCTGGAGACTTTCCCAGCTACCAGAGCCTGCAGCTTCTGTAACTGCTGAAGCAGAGTCCTGGGACAGGAAACAACCCAAATCAGAATTTGATAAAGAGGCAACATCTAGTGAATGATGAAAAGCTCCCACTACCCCCTTCATAATTTACCCTGATTTTCCTTTATTGTAAAAACAAATCTCTCCTCATTGCTATAGCTTACCCAAGTTATTCAACCAGGCAGGCACAAAACAAAAAAGAGATTGAGATATGAAGTGTTGCAGGAACTGAGGGAGGTATGCCCCAAGGTGCCATAAGGTTGGAGAACCCTCTGATCATGGGTAGATCCAACACAATTTTCACTGTAACTGCCCTCGGTTATAAACATCACATTCAGTCAGGGCTTCACCCGGAAATCTCAAAGCCTTGTGGAGCTGGGCTACCATGAGAATCAAGCTCTGGTTTGGAGGCTGAATGCTGTAGCCTTCTCAGACATTGAGAAGAGGCCTGTCTCTTCCCATTTCACTCAGAGAAACGTGCTCTGCAGCTCAACCTGTGTCCTGAACCGTATGGTGGAGAGAGAAACACAAACCAGTTTTGATTCCCTCCAGCTTCTTCAGTTTTGTCAAACTCTGCAGAGGGATGTGGGCAAAGCCAAATGTAGAATTCAGTGCTTAATTCATTCTCTGGCTGCTCCAATAGGAACATGTATTGAGGTATCTCTGCCCTGTTTAACTGAATGCAGGCATCAGAATACACGAACACAGAACAGTGGTAGGTGTGGTATGAAGAGCCACCATAATCTTCACTGGGCTGATGAAGAAATCTTAGGAGACTAACTGCAGAGCACGCTGTTAGTAAGGGCTCCAAATTACTGGAATATGGATTACTGAGTATTTCCCCTTGGGATTACTGGCTGTTTCACGTAAATATGTACGAACTTTTATAAAATGCTAAGTCCTGGAGCCAGGAGGTTGCAGGAGAATCCCAGTTTTATCTCATTTCAAATTCTCCTCTGCTCCTTGTACATGTGGAAAGAGGCACAGAGCATCCCCCTGGCAGTGACTGAAAATCAAGCCCAATTAGAAAGAACAGTGTGTTTTCTGAGGAAGGAAAAAATAATAATAATAATAATAATAATAATCCCCAGCTTTTAGGCCAATCTTCTGATTTTGTAGGATGGGGCTCATGCCTTTTCAACACCAAGGGCTGCCTGTGCTCCCAGGGAGGTTAGGCATCAACCTGTGGCTAGCTGTGCCAGGCAGCAGTATCACCAGCAGATGGCACACCTTGGTTCCCCAGTCCAAGCAGCAGTGGCTGGCATGAAGCTGGGGGCATGGCTCTGCTGTTATGGATGAGAAGAGAATGGCAGAGCTTCAAGGAGTGCTTCACAGCCCTGTATGCTGAAGCGGCAGCAAACAGGGCTGCAAAAATGAACTTTCCTCTTACTGGCCTTGTCCTTGCTTATACCTAACTGTATCTAGTATGAGCAATCAGGGCTGGGCTCTCCTCTGGCTGCTCATCCCCACAGCAAGGGCATGAGTCTTTCTTATCTGCTTGATCTCTTGACTGCCTCTGCATATTATAAGCACAAGTGTTCACCAGAGACTTGAAGGAAGGAGCCAGGGCCTGTTCTAGGGCTGCAGGAGCATCTTGTTCCTCTCAGGCAGGCAGCAGGAGCAGCAGCAGATGGGAGTGGATCCTCCAGGCTTGCAGGGAGTTCCTCTAGCCTAGCTGTTCAAGTGGGCAAGGCAGGGCAAACAAGGGCTGTGGGCTGAGCTGCACAGTTCCACCAATACCACACCACAAGGAGTTGCCCTGGATAAGGTGGGAGTTGGGATCTCTGCCTTTACTAGAGGAAACAGATTTCCCATCTAGTCTGTTCGGCTGTTTCTCAACAGAAACCTGAAACAGCTGCATAAAGTCCAGGGCTTCTAAAGAGCCCAAGAACAGAAGGAGTGGATTAGAGGGCCTGCTGTGGGGCGCCTCCCTCAGATCACCTGCCCTGGAGACAGTCAGACCCCTGGAGGGCTAGAAGAAAGAACAGTGAGCCCAAAGGGCTGCAAGGAGAAGAAGGAAGAGATGGGAGAGAACTCCTTCTTTCCCTCCCTCCTTTTGCTGCGGCGTGGCCTGGCCGTCCCAACACAAACATTCCAGACTCACTAAGCAAACCCAGCTGCCTTGCTGCTGCCATGGGCCCCAGACCAGTGCCTCATCGAGCGCACCCACCTCACCAGGAGTTGGGGGCTGACTTCTTGCCCTCCTGCCCCAGTGCTCCCTCAGTCTCCCTTCCATTGCACAGCCCACAGAGAGGTCAAGTTTAACTCCCCTTACCTATTTGCACTTTCTAAGGTCTCCACTTTTTTCCAGAGTTCATTATTTTCTGTCGTGTATGTCTCCACCCTGTGGGAATAAGACCCATGACCAGTTAGCTACACAGGTGGGACAGAGGAAGCAGTCCCTGCCTCTCTTGCACTGAGAAGGCTCAGGCTCAACGGCCACATCCATTGCCTCCACATGTGGTCCTGGAGCCAAATGTTCCATCATCTCCAACCCCCCTAAAAAGCATGCCAAAGGAGCGGAGGGGGAGGGGGCATCGGAGGTATAAATTCTCACACCTCTTCCACTGGGACCAAAAATCTGCCAGGCTGGGAGCCTCGCAGCAGGAACCAGGCAGCTCTGCACAAATGCTGGGCCAGCTCTTATTGTGGGCACTTGAGGGCAGCAGAGAACCTGCAGGCTGCTCCCAGCGCTCCGGAGAGGAAAGGCGCAGCGCTGTGTTCGGGACAGGCGAAGGGGAGTATCTCCAGGGCAGGGACACAGCCTGCTGATGCTGGGCTTTCCAGCGCTACCTCCAAACCAGGCGTTCCGTGCAAAAACCGGGCTTGCAGCAAAAGTATGGTGCTGAATGGTGAAGGGCCCAAGCACAGATGTTGACAAATCAGCTCATGCAGAAAGCCAAGCTGACCAAAGACTTGATAGATGAAAAAAAAAAAAAAAATTATAAAAAAAAAATGATCAAATGTTCCTTTTGGTTCACATTTAAACCTGGCATTGCTTGAAAGCCATCTGTCCCAGCAATGCACTAGCGTAACAAAGCACTGAGTACATACACGTCTGGGGAAGAGGCCCCAGCACAGATTGATTGCTACTTGAGCAAAGGCAGCACCTCCCCAGCCCCATCCTGAGGGATGTGGGTGTCCGTGTGGGACACTAACTGGAGGTGACGTGCTGCAGTGCCTGGACTCGTGCATGAGCACTGAGGCACTGCTTGTGAAAGGGCATGAGAATTTGGAGGGGCCTTGAGTCATCTGCTTTCATTTAGCATTTCTGCACACTTAGACAAGATAAACAAACAGCAGCAGCAGGAAGAGTTAATTAAGGTTGGGTTTGGGGGATTTTTTTTCCATTTTGCTGATCTCAGGTGGTGTTAATAACAGGGAAAAAGATGGTATTTAAACAGAAATGTGAGCTTGCAGCTGGATCCCAGCATTTTGCTTTGCCTGGAATGCCCGCTGGGAATGCTGGTACAGAGAGGACCATAGGATCAGAACTTCAGGAGTTATTTTCAACCCTCTTTGACATATGCCACTGTTATGTGATGTCACCTTGGGTTTACGCCCTTCACATATTCAGGATCTGAGGGTTATTAGGAGAAAAACAAAGCCTATGTACAAAAAGGGGGATGGGTAGGGAAAGGAAAAGGGTGTGGTTAATAATGGTTCAAGGTTTTCCTTGTTATCAAATGCTTGTGTGTTCTCTTCATGGGGAGAAGGGGAAAAGCTTTATTCAGTACCCTAGGAGGACATACTCCTTATGGGATTGACAGAATAGGAGCAATGCTAGTGGGGAAATGTGACTCTTATCCCAAATCCCACCTTGTGGGCAGCCAAAATGGCCTGTGTTCTGCAGAGGACCAGCCAAACTAAGCAGCTGGAAACACTAGATTTCTAGAGCATTCTCCATCCTGCTAGAGGATTTCTAGGAGGGAGGGGAGTAGGGGCAAGATCCCAAACCAAACTTCTGTGCAGCCAGTCTTGCAAGGAATTGTACTTTTTGAGCAAGTCAGTAGTTTTCTGAGTTGAAAATATGCTTCTTTTTTTCACAGTCCCACTGCAAGCCCAGTGACTGCTGAATACTTCCCACTGTCAAATAGGTCACCTCAGGGCAGGGGTGGGTACCGAGTCTCATAGGGACACAATGGAAATACCTCATACTCCTCTGGCATTTTAACTTCACCGTCTTGGTTAGGAGAGGTTTAAAGTGCCAACTGACCATGGTGTCACTGCTGGCTAGAGCACATGTGACCATCCTTATACCATAATGAAAGTAATAGGAGAGACCCCTGACCCTGGTTCAGTCACATTTGAGCTCAGGTGCTGTGGGGAAGAATAATGACATATATAAGGGATCAGATGGGCTATCAGAGTCAAAAGCACTAAAAAGAGGGACTGTGAGAGGACAGGACTCCTTTGTCAAAGGTAGGACAGTGAAGAAGAAACTTACTTTTTTTCTAGGCATTCCACATATTCTTTCTTCTTTCTGCGACTCTCCTGAGCAGAGATCTGTGAGAGGGGCAGCCATCAGAGAGCAGTCAGTACCACAAGCATCTAGACGTGTCTCTGTGGCCCCCTCGTCTTGTCCGCTCTCTGCACACACAGCACCCTCAGGTAAATGGGGAAGTCACCTTCCAGGCTGCCATTCCTACTGGACTTCAGGCCAAAACTGGGAGGAATGGATGCTGCAGACATGCAGACTTATTTGGCCTATAGACCACAAATATTTGTTGCAGTGTGCCTGACCCCCCTTGCTGCTGAGAGCATCTTTTGGGTTGCTCTGAACTCCTCTGACTCACACAGTACATGCTGTGGCCATCTGGGCAGATTCTGACCCAGACCACTTCTGAGTCACTGGGTGACTAATTCAGGGTCTCATTATTTCTCCCACAAGATGCTTTCCAATCGGTCTAAAGTCTGATAGCTTCTGCCTGGCTAACGAGCTCTGTGCACCACTCGTCCTACACCATGCTGTAGTTCTTGTTTCCCCGCCCCCACAGTGACGCCTGACCAGGACGGTTGGTTTGATGCTTTAATCTGTGGGCCCCATCACAGGCCACGCGCTCACAGGAGATGGGCTAGAAGCCACACTCTCCAGCTATAGCTGCATGCACAGAATGCACACAGATGATCCGCAGCACCACTGTGGGCTGGAAGGCTTGTGCCAGTGCATCAAAGGCAGGATCCCACCTCTTCTGAGCTGCACTGCAAGGATAACTACAGTGCTGGTCAGGCGAGGCTCTGGAATCATGGGAACTGCAAGGTTTGGGTTTTTTGCAGTCACCTTGTTCTTTATTTTTCTTCTGACCCTCTTCAGTGCTTTCTCCTCTGCTTTGGTGAGGGGCAGCTTGGTAGGAATGGGGTAACCCTCAGCAATCAAGGTGCGTTTCTCCTCTTCAGTCAAGAGCAGCGGGCCAGAGGTCCCTTGTAATTTCTGAAACACACAGAAAGCAGCTGTCAGCAACAGCAAGGAGTCCTATTCCCCAACAACAACCAAATCCACTCTACAAGCGTCAGAAAGCTTCCAGTCCCCTCTGAGCACCAAGAAGCCCTGCATCGCTATGACATCCTGTTTCTTCCTTACGTGTGGTGCTGTGAGGAGAGGTGAGGAGGAGATGGCAGTAGAAGAGCGAGCAGCAGGTCGGGCTGGGCTGGAGGGAGGCAGGGACCGAGGGCTCTGGGACCCATCACTGTCACTGCCATGGCTGCTGGGCGGAGTTGGAGGCATCTGCACCAGGTCATCTACTGAGAAACAAGGATATCAAGTCAATGGCTGTCATGTCAGCCTTACAGATGCCATTACAGCAATTGGCACCCATACAGATGGGACATTGGCACCCATACAGATGCCAAGTAGCAATAGGAAAAGGCACTGCCTTAAAACAGGACTGAAAGAAGAAAGCAATAAATCTCATAAGATGGGGTATGTATAAGAACAAGGCTGGACTGAGCTTTGCCCAAGACAGAGGTGAGACTGACCTCCAATGTGCTAAACTAGGAACTGCAGGAATCAGAGAACTGGCAGGGGGTTTGCCAAAACACTGGTGGTATTTACAAAGCATTAACGTTACCAGGTGTCAACCAAAATGGAGTACATGATGTTTTGTTCCATAACCTGCTCACACGTGTTCTGTAGACGAGCTCTTCCAAAAGCACCACAGGGCTCGCACACCTGACAGCACACTTGTTCAAATGCGACTCTGGTTACTCAGCATGCTGCCAAGCACCTTAGAACTGTCCCCACTTTGTACTGGAGAGCCCTGGGGACCTTAATGGAGGTGAGAATTTGACTAAGAAGTGTTTCTCTGAGGCAAAGTGGAAGTTGCCATAGAGCTTTCATTTGTGTATCGAGGATTTTCATATACTTGGGTTTTTTTCAAATTAAACTGGATCCTGAACTTCCTGACTTTCAAATGGTTGTTTTTGGATAACGCTACAGTCCCTCCGAGGACTTTAAAGGCACTCTTGCATATCTCCAACTCTGTGGTTGCCTGTTTTGCCAGGGAGTCCCTGTCTGAGCAGTTATGTGTGTGGCTGTTGGTCCAGATGCTGATCTGAGTTGAAAATTTACAATGCCCCCCACATCTATTGGTCTGTACCCCAGTACTATCTCATATATATGGCTCTGCTCTCAAGTAATGATGGAAATAATAATGATCTATATCTGAGTAATTTAGAAGGATGTATGTTTACCAGCAAATTCTGTCTTCTTGCCTGCAGGTACATTTAGAAACTGGTTCACCTCTTTGGGTTCAGCTTTGATCACAGGAGCTGGAGTCATTTCAATGGGAGTCTGTGGAAAAGAAGCAGAAAGAGTTTTTGGATGCTGTCACTTCCCCTGCCCAGAGTGCTCCCACCAGTTCTGTTCACAGCCCCTGCTCACCACTCTGTGTTCCACCCCATATCACAACTCTGTCCCCAGACAGCCTCTCACTACACACAACAACAACCAGGAGTTCAAACGTAGCCTCCTGAAGTTTGTGCTGCTGGGCAGGCAGTGTTTGCAGGAGAATCCCATGTTTGCAGGAGAATCAGCAGTGGCAGATGGGTATGCTCCCAAGCAGTGTCCTGAGTACCTCCAAAAGGTACTTTTGACTTTCATCCTTGGCATTTCTTCCCTTGCTAAACATAGACAGTGCAACTTAAACCAACCTCTGTGTTACCATGGGAAGGGCCCCTTTGATCTGTCTTCATTAGAAATGGGAGCATAGATATTGTGCAGAAAAAGAAAACAGAACAAAACCCCATCCTGCTCACATGATTTTCAGCAGGACCACTGGGCAGCTGTTTCCAATTGGAGAGGATTGGGAGTTAAATAAAGAGTACTTTTCTTCCATCTGGGCCGTGCTGCCCCTCAGCTCCCTGGCTTACCAGCCCCCAGGCCACCACAGGCTGGGGGAGTTTTTACACTGAACAGACACATTGCAAACTCCTCCAGACTGTAAACACAGCTGAGAGAGCACCATGGTATAGCTGCCGAGCACACACAGCAGAGCTTCGAGGGCACAGCAAGTTCAAGCTTTGTAAACAGTAGAGGAAGTTTGTGCACAGTTTTGGCTGGAAGTACCCATTTGTTTTGGATGGCTGTTTAAGTGGGAAGATGCTCAGCATGAGTGAATGAAGGAACTGAACCCCAGGGTGGCTCTCCTGTTATCTACTGAGCTGCTACAAGATAACTGAGATCTGTGTTCGAACCTTCCTTTCCAACAAAGCTGGGCTCAGAGACAGCCAAACAGAGCCCCCAGCTCCCTCCCACATACTAGTGGTATAACTGAGCCTCTTCAGACAAACGGACTTTTTAAGAACTTAGATATGACCAATAGACTTGGCCTCCTGTTCCTTAGAAATAATAGTTCCCATTGCCTCATAGGAAAATGCAAAGGAGGAGCTGGACTAGGGCTTCCATTTCCAGTAAGCAACTGAGAAAAGTGAAAGGCCATACGATAAGGCTAAGGCCGTGAAAAAGATAGTGGCAGGGCAGTAGTCTATACTCAAGAGTAATTGGCTCATTGGCATAGCATTAACTGACACTGTTCTCTGAGAAAAATGTAATCCTAAGTCAATGAAAATAAGCAAAAGAGTGGCTACAAAAATACTGGCAGATTGGACGTGAGAGGCCTCCAGCATGTGCAAGCTTAAAAGCCTTTGGGTTTTGTGCCAAGAAAACATGCTTGTATTTAACCCAGATTGTAAAACCTCCTGTGCCAGAGAAAACCTTCCTTCCATCACTTTCTCTGGAAGGATAAGCTATCCTGCAGCTTCACTGCAGGAATCAAGAAGGCAATTCTAGCTAGCCTAAGGTTTGGTGCTGCTCTGACTGCTATTTCAAGAGGGGAATGATAAAGGATGCGATATTCGGGCTTCTTCTGTCCAGCTGGCAGCTTAATCACCTAGCAGGACCCTGCAGTCACACAGCTGGGTCCACATCGCAGGAGTGCCACTGTGTGAGAGCCCAAGTTCCCAATGGACCTTCAATGGGCTCACCTCCTCGGGGACTGGCAGTCTCTGCAGAGGGTTGAGGTTCAGCACAGGTCTGGAGCTGGCAGCCAGCTGGGACTCAGGCGGGTCTAGAGCCAGGTTCTGTTCCTGCTTCACCATGATGGAGCAGAGCTTGGGCCCCAGAGACCACACTCCATTCTCCAGCTCTGAAACATGTACAACGTGAGAGTCAAACTCTAGTAAGAACAGGACAAAAAAAAAAAAAAATCCATGCAGACAGCTTCCCCCCATCTGGGGAGGCTGCCTTTCCAAGTTTAGCACTGTCACCACACAAGCATGTGCAGGCCCACAACAGAGGGAACAAAAGGGAACAAACCCCCAGTGTGCGGAGAGCGGAGACAGGACCGAGCTAGAGGGATCGTGTCTCTGCTCTGCTCTGCTCTCCCTATGCAGCCAATGTGCTCAAAGACAGCTGCGGGGTTTCTTCCCTCACTGATGTCTCGGTCTCATTCTCTGGAGTTTATTTATACTTAGAACTCAGTGTAAGGAGGATGCTGGGCTTGGCTTCTCAGGCAACATGGCCAGCATCACAGAGCTGCCAGGTGTTTTACCAAGAATAGCACTGCCTCTGTGCTAGAGAGCTGGAGAGCACAAAGGCAAAGAGAGGCTGCTGGGGGGTCCATCCATGCGCTCTGGCCTCCTGCTGATGCTGCATCGTGTACCACTGTGGCTTGGCCACAGAACAAGAGGAGATGATGGGAAGAAGCCCGGTGTGGCACTCTGCTTGTGGGGCTGCTGTCCTCAGTCTTACCTCTGCTGCTCTGCATTGCTTGGGGGCTGCTGTGAGCTGCTGTGCCAAGCTGCCATTGCTGGCAGTGGCAGGAGCAGCAGCACTGAAGAACACTGAATGGAGATGTGTGGGGATGCGATCTTGGACCCTGCCTGCTCTGTACCATGCATGTGGTGTAAGCCAGGCTCACCAATGGAAGCAGAGATACCAGGAGTGGTACAACTCACATAGGTGGAAAAAGTTGCCAGGCAGGAGAGTGGCCTGGGCTCTGTTCTGAAGCTTTGGTCCCTTTATTGCTCTTCAAATACTTCAGACTGCCAAAAAGTTACTCCACGCTGGCCTGGAGCCTGCATCCTCCGCTCTAATCCTCATCCCTTCCCCTTTTTATCTGACAAACAGAAACTCATTTATCTTGACAAAGGACAGACTATTTCTAAGTATGTCACCAGACAGTGCCCCAGTTGGCTTGACGTAAGGCAACATTCAGGCTCACTCTCCAGCCCCTGCACATCTCTGTCTGCACATACTGCTCCCACAGCCAGGGGGGTTGCCCAGCTGTTTGCTGCCCAAAGCAGCACTGTAGTGCAGCCTCAGTCCAGAAGATGTCCCGGCAGGAGGAGAGGAGGAAGGTCCTTCTTAGCTCCAAAAAACGTCTGTGCAAAAAAGGGCATGACAGAGCAATTTGTCATGATGGAGCTGCCATGTGAACCAAAGTTAAAGGTACCATAAAGTCATCTTTGCCCAACTGAGGTTTTGTTGCCCACAGGAGAAGAAAGGGTGGAACCCTGAGACACAGTTGTCTCAAAGCTTGAGCAGAAATTACATCAGCTTTGCCTGTGGTATGTCTTCCTGTCTTTGGCTTGGCATCCCTTACTTTGCTGCCTGGAGAAGTCTTTCTAGCTGGGGCCCATTCTTTCCAGCTCTCTGTGTGGCTGGAAATCTTCAAGTACAGACACAAGATGCTGTGGCTACTCCATGCGTATACCAGCTCAGCGTGCTCCTCCCAGGGCTGCTGGATCACTTCCTAGAGCTTCCATAATGTCGCAGGGCCAGCATCATCAAGGAGCGTCTCAGGCAGTGGTGCACTGCAGAGCTGTGAGAATTAAGAGGCTGCTGAGCAGACAGACTGAATTGCATTTTCAGTGACCTGTGAAGGACACCAAACCCACATCTGGTAACGAAGTCCCAGTTGCCTCTGGTATGCCCCTTCTTATGGTTGGAGGCAAGGTGTTAGCCACAAGAATTTGCATACAGAGAACTTGGACTAACTTCTTCTGTCTGACCACAGCCTGTTACAGAGGTGAGAGATCTTGAGAAGTGTTCTGTGTCCCAACTCTAGACAAGTTCAGATAACTTGTGTCAGGCTTGGCAGAGGATTGTACAATTTAATCTCATTCCTCTGCAAAGCAATTAACAGTCCACAGCATTCCCCACTAAATCTCTTCCAGGGTTTCTCTATACCCACAGTAGGAATCTTTTGCCTACTGGCTAATCTGAAGTTCCTTTGGTGTGATTTTAGGCCTCACTCTCCTCATCTTTTCTTCCTGCTGCAGAACTCTATGCTCTCTTTTTCTCAGAAGCACAAGACATCCTCCATCTGAGAGGCCTGTTGCTGAAGCCAGTTATCAGGCAAGGGAGAGCAGACCACCAACAGTTTTCCCCATTAAGACTTGACTCAGAAAGACAGCAGCCCCCAGAGCTGTCAGTCCAGACAGTCCGAGGAGCAGACACCCAAATAATTATACATGTCATCCTCCCATTTCCTGTCTATGTTCTGACCCAGCTCTGTTTCCCACCCTTGGAGATTTATCTAGGGAATGGCTGGGTTGCAGACTCACAAACACATAAGCCATCAGAGGGTCAGTAATGGACTGAGAAGGAAGCTTTTTGTGTGGACACATCCATGTTTTGCTGCATGAGAGGACATTTCAGAGGTATGTCCATTATGTAAGATACTGCACAATCCACTCTATGTTGAGGGATGCCAAGAATCTCATGCTCTGCTGTGGGTCCTCTGTACTTGATAGGAAGAAGTATGGCTGTGAGATGTCCATAGCTGCTCTAGGTTGGAGAGGTGGTAAGTCAAAGAGCAACAGGGAAGTAGGACTTGGACAGGAATTCAATCACTAGCCTTGAGGCTGGTTTTGCACCCACTGTTGTGCATGATCCTGGCTCCCCTTGCTCCTGGCATCAAATCACAGCCTGCAGAATGGAGGGCTCATACTGTGAACTAAAACAGTCAGTCTGTGTTCAAACCATCTGGGAAGCAGACTCCACAGATAAACAGGGTCACAACGCACCCAGAGGCTTGCCCTGGCTGACTTGTGTTAGTGGGAACCATGTGGGAAGGGGCAGGATTTGGAAGTGCTGAAGATCTGCAGAAAAGCTGGGAGAAAGCTGATAAGCAGCAAGCCTCAGTCAGCTCCAACGCCTAGACAGAGCCCAGGCGTTCCTAAGGAACTGTGCAGACCAAGCAGTTCTGGGTTAATGTTAAAGAAAAGCCACTCCTGGTAATTAATTTCTAGTGAATGTCTAAAAGGACTGAGACTGGATGGAGCTGTGCCAAAAGGACTGCACAGTGTTACAAATACTGGACCTGACTCAGGGCTACACTAGAACATGACTCACATCCCACTACAAGCCAAGATAGCCCTGGAAACATGGGCTGAATTATTCCACTGCAGGACTTGTGGCATAGATACCCCTATACTTGCCACACTAATATTAGACCTTACTCCCAGAACAGAGCTTGTCTGCACTCTTAGAGAGCAAACGCCAGATTCCATCTCAGCCTCTCCTGGTTTATGTGCTCACACTGTACCAGCCTCTGCCTAAGGAGGAATGTTGCACTGCATTCAGGAGACTCATGGACTCGCCTTGGAGAGAATGCAACTGAAGCTGGGATATGTCCAGATGCAGAGAAGTGACAGGTGCCATAGAGCTGAGTCTCTATGGTATCTTCATGCATCCAGGCTTCAAGGAGTATTTCACTGCATTTCACAACTCATGCTTCTTGCTTCTCTCATTCCCAAGGCGCACCCTCCTTGTGTTCATTTGCAGAGACTGAATAACCACGTTTCGATGCACTTACTCTGGTTTCTTTTCTGTTAGTTGCCTGATGGACTATTTGGAATGAGTGCCCTCCAAGACTATGTAGGGGTTAAAGGTGGGAACAAAGAATTGTGCAGATGGAAAGCTTTTCTGATATTAAGACAGTGCTTGCTTGGCTTGAATTGCTCGGGATCCTCTCTCAAATACTTTCCTAAGGGACTCCTAGGGAACATGGTAGCAATGGCTGCAATTTTGTAGGAACCGAAGAGGCAGTGAAGGCCAGTTCCACTTCTGCCTTTGTACCGCAGAGCTGGGATCCTTCCTGGCCATGATAGGGAAGCCTCTGTCTTGAGTCTCACTCTCACTTAAAGGAATGGCTTTCTTCTGTGTATACTGAGTCTGTGCCACTGCTTTTTCAGGCAGCCCGGTTGTCCATCAGCTGTTGGGACACCCACACAGTGCCGCAAATTAGAGGACTCTCTGCAAGGACTGCTCTAAAAATATCCAGCCATCATAAATTATCCTGAAATGAATTGTTTTAAAAATAGACTTTGAAATGACTGTTCCTTTCTGTCTCCTGCTAAAAGATCTGCTGGTAAAGAAGCCACTTAGCTTTCCACATGTACCAGCACTGATTGCAGCCAGAGACTCATGCTTCCTATATTCAAGCCAAAACCCTGTTGATGGATGCCAAAACAGACCTGGATCTAGGGCATCCACACCCAGGCTTGCAGGATCCTAAAATGACTTTTGCCTATTGCTTGCCAGAAGCTGGCAGCACACAGAACCACAGCCATTATCCTCGTAAATAACAGCTAGCCCAGCAAAGGAGCAATGTGATTGTCAGAGCACAAACTGAAGGAAAAAATGTGGGCTGCATTTAACAATGGCAGATCAAATTCTTCCCTGGATTAGCCAAGCGCAAGCTCAAGGGTTAGCCAGTTTGTCCTCATATGAGGAAGACAGCCAGAGCCGCTGCTACCAGATGTGTCTGACTGTGCAGTGTGCGTGTCTCGTGCTCACCGTTAGCATTATCTTCAGTCTTGACAGGCATGAGGGGGCTCTGGGGAGCAGAGTCTCCGCTGAGGGAGTAGCTGTGCTCTGCCTGGATGCCTGGAGTGGGTGGGTCCAGGTCCATGTCCAGCAGCGGGTTCTTTTCAGCCAGAACTGGGTCATCGAAGAAACTGCTGAAGAGGTCGTTGGAGAAATCCTCCATGTTGTCGGAGAAGTGATCCAGGTTCTCGGAGAAATGCTGAGGAAAATCCAAGGGAGATAGAATATTAGTGTCAACTCCAAGAGGAATCTGAGCCTTGTGCTGTGCTGACAGCCAAACCTCAGCAAAAGCACTTTCTGGATGGGAAAGAGCAGTTGCTGCCCCTTCCTTGCATCAGTGTGATAAAAGCACCAGGAGTTTAGATAGAAAAAGCCGAGGTGCTTTATAGGTTCTCTGCCTATTTATCTACGCTGTGAACACTCATGAAACTTCTATGTTCTCGCATCTCCTCCTTCCTCTGTGGGTACCTATCTTCAGCTTCCCAGCATCATCACTATGACACCTAGCCAAGCAGAGCACAAGGCAAGAAATCGCTGTGATGACAAAAAGTGTGGCAGAAAATCATGGTCTCCAGCACCTGCCTGTGGTGACAGACATTTTCTCATGATCTCTGCCAGCAGCAATAGGCGCTCTGATGCCCCAGAGAACATCAAACCAGCTGCTGATTTCTATCAGAGAAAAAAGAAAAAAATCAATTGGATCCACATAACAGGAAGGCCCCCTGTTATATTTAATTTCCTCTGGGATTTCACAGCCCCTCTGTGGACCATATGAAGCTGTCCTCCAGCCAGATAATGACTGTGAAATTCTGCTCCCCGATGAAGTTTAAACACTACAGATGGGCTGTTAACAACAAACAATCATGCCACTAATCATTCTAGTAGCAGCCAGTAAATCTGGCTGGTGCAGTTGGGGAGCTGGGCTCCCGATGCCACAGGAACCTGCTTCTTTTGAGGCATATCCTCCTATTCAGAAGTCAGATTGCTAACTTTTCCATTTGCTACAACAAAGCGCTGGTTGAGCAGGGAGAAAAATGATTGCCAAACACCAGCTGAAAAATTATCCCATTCGTTGGCAGATTGACACTTTTGGCTCATGGAAAGGAAAGAAAAGACAGATACATTCAAGTGACTATATTACACAGACAGAACTGTGTAACTTAAATGAACTGGAGAGCTCAGCCGAGTCAGACTGCCCCCACCCGCCTGACTGTAAAAGCATCTGGGTGGGCAGAAGAGCGTTGAAAGCAGCATATTGAAATACCAGGAGTAAAGGGTATGGACACAAGAGAGTGGGAGACAGCACACAGATCCTAGAGCAGAGGCATGAATGCCAGTGACAATTTCAGTGGGAGAGCCAGTTCCCAGAGGAGGGGGGGGGTGAGTGCAGTTCTTTCCCCACCTGTAATACTGAGGAAGGAGTTGGCCAGAGGACCCCGGATGCTGGACTGTGCAGGTTCCTGTTCCTACAGGAAGGTATATTTGCTTTACCTGAGCACAATATCACTCTGTCAACATTACTTGGGCTGCCTGAGCATAGGGTGAGGCTGGGGAATGAAGTAGGCTCCAACTGAGCAGACTCACACTTCCCACCAAGTGGGGGAGGGAAACGGTAAGCTGCTGTAGGTTCTATCACTGCAGTGCCCTTCACCCTCCAGTGTCATCCCTCAGCCACTCAATTTAAAAATCAAGTGCCCACAGAGCATGTAGGAAATGGGGGAAAGTCCCTGCTGCCTACATTCTACCTGACACCAGGTTTCTCTCCCACTGAGAAGGCCCTCCCAGGAAAGTCTGGGATGAAGATTTCTCCTCTTGTTCCCATGCTGACAGGATGTAGGTGAGGCAGCTACTCAGCCATTTTCAAGCTGCCTAGAAGCATTTCTGCACTTGAACTGAGTGACAGCAAATTCTTCCCATCCGCACTGTTCTTCTGAGGGAGCTGAGCCAGCAGATGGAATTGGGTTATCTAAAAAGCACTGAAAAACCATGTTTGTCCTGTCCTACAACACAGAGCGGTAAGAGAGTTTGGAGTCCTGAGCATTAACCCCAGAGAGTGCCTGCTCATGTAACAGCTGTTCTTTGTCTTGCTTTCTCCAAACAACACAAGCAAATAGGATATGAACACGATAGCCTTATGGTAAGGATGAGAATGTAACCAATCATAGAAAAGTAAAGGGATTCAGAGTTTTGGCTGCCAGTGTAACACCAGAACACACAGGCATCCCGTGTCATGGCTATAAGTACAGCCAGAGCCTTATAAACTAGAATGAACATGTGACTCTCAAAGAGGACCAGGAATGGATAGGCAGCTGCAGGAATAATCGTCTGTGACGGCCACGTGCTTCAAATTTCTTTCACAAGTTTGCATTAACAAAGGTGGGGCTGAAAACAGCCAGGCAGAAGATGTGGTTATGCAATAGTTCCACTCACTTTTAGCACCCATGCTTAAAATAAGGATTTATTGGGCAGCCATCAGTCTTCCCATTGCAGGACAAGCCTACCTGGAGGGAAGAGAAGCTGTGCCTCTGGGTCAGATGTCAGTAATGAGTGCACGGGGCTGGTCAGCACAGCTTTAACACAGGCACTGACACTGGCAGATGCCATAGCATATTTCTGATTCTGCTTTTAGACACCACACAGGCTGTCTGGGGACCTCCCTGCTCGAAAGTGATAATGAAGCAGCAGCACTCTGTTTCCAGAGATGCAGGAGCTCAGCTCTACCAGAGCCCATTCTCTCCCAAGAGACAGACATAAAGTAGCACCTTTTCATCTCTCATCAACCATACATTTACCAGCCCAGCATCTCTGAGTGGATGGTGGAGAGAAAGCAGCTGTGCTTGAGGACTAACTAGCATATGAGACTGGAAGTAACTGTGGTATTATCAAAGGTGGCATCAGGGATTGGACAGAAAGAGCATCCACACAGAGCTGGAGACTGCTTTTATTCAGAAAAGAAAGCAAGCGGCAAAGGAAAGTAGAAGAAGGAAGGGCAAAGCAAATAATGACATGGCTTTGTAGCCACCTAAATCCACAAGAGAAAAAGCAAGAAGTTAAACCACCAAGTCCTGAGGAGACTGCTGGGCCTCTTTCATGGGCTTCATTCCTTCCTGATGCCAACAGCTAGCCTAAGCTTTAGGATAGGTATCAATGTAGTTAGTAACAATGATTAGCAACAATATCCGTAATGCAGCCATGAGGTAGCAAGAAACTATCTCTTGTCCAGATACAACTGTGAAGCAAAGCCCAGTGTTTATTTCAGAACCACTGCTAGTTAGCCCAGATCAACCCCAGCAGCCCAGAATACGCAAATTCTGCCACTCAGCCTTAGTGGGAGAGCTATGCCTATCTGGTAAAACTCCAAGAAGGCTTCAGCCAGCCTTCTCCTTAACACATGTGAGAGAGAAGGCTCTGGGTAACTGCAGGTCCCAGGGTACGGTGTGTCAGGGCTGCATGGATCACAGCAGAGCATGACAGCCAAGAGCTGCCAGATTCTGAGTGATAACAGAAGCAGGCTAATCACCCAACCAAACATGTGCTCCTTGAGGCTTTGAGCTGATACACCAATGGAGGTGCTATACCTGCCATCTAGACTGCAAAACACACAGCCAAAGGCTTGCACGTTCTGCCACTGAATGAAAGGAAGGTGCTGGGCCTTGGAGAGACTTTTCCCAACACCACAGCAGACTAGAAGCACATTAAGCGTGAGGTCCAAGAAAGAGTGCCACAGGTATTGGATGGGAATGGTGGGATGTGTGGAGATACACAAGCAGAGCAGACTCTTCACCTCACGCACTGTCCAAGGTCTAAACTCTCTCTTTAACAGCACATTCCAGCCAGCTCCTGCTCCTTAGGGAAAAAAGTATCCTTATTGTGACAGTGAAGGAACCTGCAAGTCTACTGAGATTCTCCTTCACAATATCTCAAGTAACTTTCATGGGCCTAGCTTGAGCAAGGAGGACCAGTCAACTGGGGAACGTGATTCTTTACCATCCTGGGCCAGAGGGAGCAGGCGTGAAGCTGGGGGAAACAGCTTCCAGATGGGTTACAAAGCTCACAGCACAGTCTCATTTTGCATTATTCCCTCCTGCTATCTCCCCCTCCCTTTCGCACCCTCCTTCCTTCTTCTAACTATGCTCCAAAGCCAAGAAATAGCACGAGATGTGTTTCCAAAGCTGTATTACCAGTGAGCGGTCAGGGAGGGGGCAGCCAAGGGACAGAAACGCAATGGCGAGGATGTGCTAGATTTCCTGATCCAAGCCTGATTTGTAGCCACCCATCCCCCTACTGCAGCTCTGGAAGGACGGGGAGGTAATGCCCAAGGGGAACAAACTGGGGCGTGCAGGCAGGGGTGGCAACGATCTCACCTCCAGGCAGCCTGAAGCTGGTCTCATGCCACAGGAGAATCTGCTCAGGCTGAGGCCACCTCTGCCACAGGGAGAGCGCGAATCTGTCAGCTGCTGGCTCCTGCTCTCTCTCACTCGTGGTGACCGACATAGGCACTAACTCTTCCAAACATATTTCCACCACATGTTTTCACCCTGACCTCATGCTTAGGGTTGTCTAAATAGCAAACTGTGTGTGCGTGCGTGCACTTCTCATTTGAACACCCCTTCCTGTTGTACAGCAGTTATCCTGGGAGTTAATGAAAGGCATTCAGACATCCAAATGCAAACTCTTCATTTGCCCCCACCCAGAGCTGGAGTTAAACCTCTGGAGGGCCTCAGGAAGAGATTGAGGCATTAAGCTTATTCCACTGTCCAGCTGTGTACACGGTGCACCTTGAGGTGCTCCTACCCAGTGGCTCCACATGGCTGAGAAAGGAACTGGTTCCTCTCCTTGCATCCATTTCTCCACTGCAGTCACTTTGGATACATCTGTACCTCCCTTTCCCTTTCACATATCCATCCTCTGACTGTGACTTTCCCTCCCCACCTCCACTGGAGCTATTTGGAAACAGTCTCCCTCTAGGATCGGTTTAGTTCTCACAGCCTCCCTGCTCCCACTACGATGGTCCGGCTCCAAGGAGAAAGCAGCAAGGGGCTAATCCAGCTGGGTGGGAGCCCAGGCCCAGGAGATGAAGGGCCTTTGCAGGTTGGAGGTTCTGCTCATGCTGGCAGGCGGGGCAGATGGGGAGGGGAATCTTCTGACTTTTCTCTTTTCTTTTTGAAAGTATTTTTCCTCTTTGCTTGCCAAGATAAA